TCACAATGTCAACCGTATGGACAATCTCAAGTGCCCCTCCAAAAGGTGATATTATCTTCTTTATTGACCGAAAGACCTTATCCAATCAGGCGAATCATAGAGCTCTTGAATCGTACGGATTAAATGAGCTTCGCTCGCCTAATTCAACTTTACAAAGTGGTTGTAGCATGACCGGCAGAAGTGGTAAAGACAGCATATATGGTAGTCTACCTCACTCCTTCTCCATGCCAAGCCGCTACAGCTCTGGTCGCCGGAATAATGGCAACTATGACTTTACAACTGACTCGACTTCTTCAATTACTTTTCTTGGAAAACGCATCACTCGTGAATATCGGTCAGCATTCGTTTTACCGGACGAAAAAGTTGTTACTGTCACCCGCAAGGAAACCTTTCTGCCAGAAGAAGCTTCTGTCGACGTGATAGTCTCTATATCTCTGGCTGGGCCTGAAGAGCTTTTGTCTAAGCCTCTTCCAGTCGTACTTAAGCAAGAGAAAATTATAGATCATTTGAAACAAGATCCATGGGCAAAGGCCATGTTGTCCTCTGAAGAGTCAAAAGATGCCGAACTTTTGGGTCGTATTGGTGCAGAGTACAATTCATCCCCAGACCGATTTCGAGTAGAGAGAAGCGAGAAAAAGCGCCGTCGCGAAGAGATTGTAACATTAAAGGATCGATGGAGTGATGAAGATAGCATGGGCAACACTGGATTGGAGCATAATTGGACACTGACTTCGGACACTGGGCATCGGAAAAATTATTATCTGAGTCCAGATTCTATTAATCGTGCAAATAAGGGAGATTCTGGAATATCGGAAGACTTGAGAACAAGAAACGATTGGACTTCCTCCTTCGGTAGCTATCAGACATCTGAAGAGGCAAAGCGACTTTACCATCGGACTCCAGCTGTAGCTCCTGTTCTACAACGTCGTGGCAGAGTGACACATTCACACTCCTTAGATAGGAGCTACATGGATGCCAGATCAAGGGCTTACAAAACCAGAATGGAAGATATGGACCAGGTTCAACCAGGGATGGATATGCGACGATCTTTTGAAGAGCTGCGTCGCCAATGGAGTGACAGAGCAGCCCGCCGAGGGGTATTTGCTGACTACGATGTTCCTTTTCCTGATGGCTTGTCGGGTCAGCTTCGCAAAAGAGTATCCACAGTTCCTGCCCTACCAACAGATGGCAGCGCGGCTTGCGAATGGGCC